GGTGCAGTCGTGGTAGTTGTACTTGAGTAGTAGCGGCAGTGGCAGTGGTAGCAGTAGTGGTAGTGGTAATGGTAATGGTAGTGGTAGTGGTAGTAGTGGTAGTAGTGGTAGTAGTGGTAGTAGTGGTAGTAGTGGTAGTAGTGGTAGTAGTGGTAGTAGTATTCGTAGTAGTAGTAGTAGTAGTAGTAGTAGTAGTAGTAGTAGTAGTAGTAGTAGTAGTAGTAGTGGTAGTGGTAGTGGTAGTGGTAGTGGTAGTGGTAGTGGTAGTGGTAGTGGTAGTGGTAGTGGTAGTGGTAGTGGTAGTGGTAGTGGTAGTGGTAGTAGTAGGTTGGAGGTAATAATAGTAGTAGTAGTAGTGGTAATAATAGTAGTAGTAGTAGTAGTAGTAGTAGTAGTAGTAGTAGTAGTAGTAGTAGTGGTAGTAGTAGTAGTAGTAGTAGTAGTAGTAGTGGTAGTGGTAGTGGTAGTGGTAGTGGTAGTGGTAGTGGTAGTGGTAGTGGTAGGTTGGAGGTAATAATAGTAGTAGTAGTAGTAGTAGTAGTAGTAGTAGTAGTAGTAGTAGTAGTAGTAGTAGTAGTAGTAGTAGTAGTAGTGTAGTAGTAGTAGTAGTAGTAGTAGTAGTAGTAGTAGTAGTAGTAGTAGTTAGTAGTAGTAGTAGTAAGTAGTAGTAGTAGTAGTAGTAGTAGTAGTAGTAGTAGTAGTAGTAGTAGTAGTAGTAGTAGTAGTAGTAGTAGTAGTAGTAGTAGTAGTAGCAGTAGTAGTAGTAGTAGTAGTAGTAGTAGTAGTAGTAGTAGTAGTAGTAGTAGTAGTAGTAGTAGTAGTAGTAGTAGTAGTAGTAGTAGTAGTAGTAGTAGTAGTAGTAGTAGTAGTAGTAGTAGTAGTAGTAGTAGTAGTAGTAGTAGTAGTAGTAGTAATAGTAGTAGTAGTAGTAGTAGTAGTAGTAGTAGTAGGAGGAGGAGGAGGAGTAGTAGTAGTCGTAGTAGTCGTAGTAGTCGTAGTAGTCGTAGTAGTGGTAGTAGTAGCAGTAGCAGTAGCAGTAGCAGTAGCAGTAGCAGTAGCAGTAGCAGTAGTTGCTTATATTGTTGAAGTGTTTTTTGAGTGCAAAACTGCTTTTGATTTGGTTTGCGTTATTTTTATATTTTTTCCTGACCTCTTTTCTGGCTCTTTGTTTGTCTCTGATTTTGCTTTTGTATGTTTTCTGAATATTTGTTGTTCAAAAGTGTTGTGAGTCGTTTGACCCTTGCGGCTTCTATATATTTGTGAATCGTTTGACGCTTGACGCTGGCGGCTTCTAGAGACCAGAGGTTTTGGTTTACTTTGTTATACTGCAGCTGAGACGTCGAGTTTCATGGATTTTGCAACTGATGGATTCTGCAACTGTTAGGTCTCTGTTCTGCTTCTTGCGCAATTTTTTCTCGGAGGCTACAGACATAGCAGGAGAGTGCTTCGCACCCCCCATTTTGCCGTTAGGCAAAAAACTCCAAGTTCCCAGTTTTCTTCTTGCGGCTCTGCAGTTTTGTCCCATGCTTCCGCTTGCAAGGGGATGTTTTTCATTTTTTGAAAGAATCAACAAAAATTTTCTTGTTCCAAGTGTTAAGAACACTTGCGTGCAGCAGGGTCGGGAACTCATTTGCGAAACCGCTCAATGTTGCTCTCTTGTTGGCGTTGGAAATTCTGTTTCCTAGAGATGAAAAAAAACAATTTGGCAGCCAGTTTCTGGAAGTCACTGCCGTAGCGCGGCAGGTAGCTTTCCGTCTCACCACTCCCGACACTAATTCGATGCACAACTTCGCATTGCCGCGCGCTTTGGAGAAGAAGATGGAAAGTGCATCCTCAAGGCGCCTTTTCGATGGTGCCAATTGCTTCACTGTATGACCACGGTCGTGACCCACAATAGCTTACTTGAGCCGATTTCACCATCCTCATGCTTACAGATCCAAATTCGCTTTCGAGGGTTGGCAAACCCGTGATTTTTTTCCGACGTCTACTGCAGATGGTTGCATACTTGTGTGTTGCTATGATAAAGTCACCTGTGTCCATACAGTCCATGCTGTTGAAATGGTTTCGGTGACAAACTTGGGTGTTCTTTGTTACCACCTTGCATACATTGCACTCCATGGCCTATCAAAACATTTCTTGGATTTGTTGTACCATTCTTACAACAGATTGCGTTGAAATGAATTCAAATTGTGATATTTGTGAGAAGTTGGAATGTTTTGAGCACCTTGGAAACATGAGGACAACAATATCTCAATGCTTGTGAAAGTTGGAATACCCAAGTCAGAAACAAACTCAGCGGATCAAGACCAATGGAAAACGGTAATTTGTTGGAAGATTAGTTGCGAGCGGAGATCCTTGCAAGGTGTTTGCATGTGGCCAGCGTGTCGCTTGTAAAGCTTGAGCTCCAAAGTTTGTTTGGTAGTTTGATGATTGCTTGCGTGTGTGTTCATCGTGGTGGGGTTGGGGGGGGGGGGGGGGGGTGGGGGAGTGGGGGGTGAGGAAGAGCTTCCAGCAGCCAACCATTCCTAACTGGCCACTCGTACACTTCGACCCCATTCCTTCTGTTCCCAAGGAAGGGGGGCGTGGGGTTGGTGGGGGGTGAGGGTGGGGTGGGGTGGGGGTGGGGTGCGGGGTGGGGGTGGGGATCGTAATAGCGTCGGCGCAAGTGTGCAAGGCTCCACGCGTAACTGCATGCGTGCACAACAGTTGTCAAGACTATAGTTTCAGGTGAAAGTGGCGAAAAGCTGGTACATGTGAATACAGGAGGGGTTGATTCCTTTTGGAGAACTTTGGAAATATGCCAGATCTTATCAATGCAGATGGGAGTGCTCTTGCGATTTGCTTTTCCAGCACGGGCCGTTACTTGGCCAGCTTGTGGCCAGACGGATGTGCGCCAAACATTCTGGCCCTGCCTTCCTCTAGCCCGGCAAAAGACACTCGTCAATCTTATACTCAGACCCTTGAACCCTAAACCTCAAAACGACAAACACAAATCCCGTAGCTCTTCACCAAAGTCCCTGAAGCCTGCTGCCCCCCCCCCTTTGTGCACGGATTTTGCACGGCCACTCGCTTTCATGAAATGAAGACATGTTTCTGCAAACATCTGAAAGCAAAACAACTTCCAAACAACATCTCGCAAGCCGTTTGTTTAATTACGCTGTCGCGACATGTGCTCGCTCGCCAGCAAAACTGCGTATCTCCTTCAGTACCAGGAGATGTTCTTCGGTTCTCAAGATATTGCAGTCGCTGGCTGCAACATGAACGCCGTGCGTGTGACATCGCCCACGCTTGTTTCAAAAAGAACATCTTCAATTTTCAGGCACAACTTATTGCATGGACAACTGACTTCAGGGGGTGGGCCGCTTCTCCGACGAGGCATTGGCCGATTCCCAGCAACTCCAGCAAGGTGTTGAGTGGAGGACTCAGCAGGCCATGTGCCACAGGCGTGGGACAGCTGACATGCCCTGGCACCCATTCACACAACAAAGTTCCATTTTGGCATTGCACTCGAAAATGTACGCTGCCAGTTGTTTTGGAGAAAAAATGTCCATCAACGATTTGCTGGAGTGCCGACGGCTTGGCTGAAAGGGAACCCGACTTCACCACCTGTGTAGGTGTTTTTAAACAGTTGACGGGGATCACAAAGCCATGGTGCATAAGGATGTTCAGGTTCCATCCCAGAAGCCACCTCATTGTTGAGATTTGTTTTAACACACATTCAGTCGGGTGCCATGGGCCAGTCGGCGGGGTGTTGCCACAAAGAGGACGCTTAGTGTTTGGAGCCAGGTCTGGGGCGATGTTGCCAGCGGCTTTCAACGTGCCAATGGAATCGTCGTAGTCGTAAATAGTCGTCGTAGCAGCAGTCGTCGTAGAAGTATTAAGAGTAGCAGTGGTAGCAGTAGAGCGGCAGTAGAACGCTAGTGGAAAACTGGAAACATCAGTAGCACGAGTAGCAGTGGTAGCAGTACAGTAGCAGTAGTAGTAGTAGTAGTAGTAGTAGTAGTAGTAGTAGTAGTAGTAGTAGTAGTAGTAGTAGTAGTAGTAGTAGTAGTAGTAGTAGTAGTAGTAGTAGTAGTAGTAGTAGTAGTAAGGCTAGCAGGAGCAAGAATAGAGGGGGAGCAGGCGCAGCAAAACGCGTTACTAAGCACGTGCAGGACCTGTGTAGGCGTACTAAGTGTCCTGGGAAAACATCACGAGATCTCGTCAGGACGTGGGGCCTTCCACCGAAACCATCCAGGCTGAGCCCCAGCAGGATGACGCAGAGAATCCCATGTCGGAAATAGTCGGGGTTGTTCCTGGGCTGGGCAAGCTTATGTTAGGCACGCAGCGTGAGCATAGTGACGGTAGAGTAAGCCACAAGGTTTCGGAGTCTTCAGCGCAGAGAATTTTCGAGAGCTTACGAACGGTTTTGAGCAGTTTTTTGTCGAATATCAATTTCAGTACTCTCCGAAAAACTGGCTTGCGGAAACTTCCGATCCAGGAATTGTTCAGCTACCCCCCAATGCACGCACATTTGCCAGTGTAAAAGGGTCGTGGAGTGTAGATTGGTGGCTGCAGCAAAGGTCGGCGGCACAGTTCTTCCAATTGCGTCTGTTTGTAGTTCGGAGCCGATCAACGTGCCTTGGGTGTGCAGATTTTGTGTTGTTTTGGCGGGTATTCGGGCTCTGTTGGTTTGGGATGTGAGGTTTGGTTAGGGTTGAAGAGCTTAATGATTCGTCTTTACACGGGTGCATGGTTTTGTGAGGGCAGCGTACCCAAAACAGACCCCGAGAAATACGACAGATAGTCAGAAACCTTAGGAGCTGAGAGCCTTTCGCCCAAGAAATGAGCTCACTCCATCGTGACAGGTATTGCCGATTCGGCGTTTTCAGAGAGCCAATTTGGGCCATGTTCAGGGGCCAGCCAAACTCCTTTCTGAACGCAAAGAAACATGGGGCCGGGATAGAGCAAGAGCGCTAGACCGCTGTGCAGTGTGTCGCAAGGTCGTGGCTTTGTCCTCCATGGACGTGAACCTGGAGATCATGCGAGGCATCTCTCTCCGCAAGTGTCTGCGAAATGTCCGAAATCTTTGGTGGGCTTCTCCTCTCGATCTCCCTGAGAAGATCCGAAGCAACCTGTGGAAGAGACGTGGTTGCTGTTGGAATGGGAGGAACATTGTTTTTTCATATCCTGTTTGTGTGCTGTAGTGTAGAAGTTGGGCACCCAAGGAAGTCGGCATCCGTGTCCGGCTTCGATGTCTTTTTGTCACACACTTGGCAAAGCTCGGGCTTGCGAAAGTGCTTGGCGCTCTTACTGCAATCAACATGGATGTGGGGTTTGGCATTTTGGCTCTTTATCTTGCTTCTTTTGATGATCATCTACATGCAGAACCTCCTCCCCACGCCGAGTGGCTATTCGCTCCCCCAACGCTATGGCGGCGGTACCGTTCCCCAAGGCGTGTGGCGGACGTAGCCGCTTTGCTAGTCGCTGCCTCGCGCCGCGTGCTGTAGCTGCTGTGTTGCATATATGGTACAGTACACGTAAGTACCAGCTTCGGTGCCCCTGTTGAGGACCTTGGATGGCCATCTTCAGTCTACCCTCCTGCCTTTTCGGCCTGGCCCTTGCTGTCTACCTCCCCGAGCGGATCTGGCAGTCACCGACGTGCTTCCTCGATGCCGTCAGTATACACCAAACGGACCAAGGCCTCATGAAGCAAGGTGTGTATGGACTTGGCGGCTTTCTGAAGGCCTCCAAAGAGCTGCGCATCCTCTGGTCGGCGCCATATTTTTCCAGGCGTGGGAAGCGGGGCAAGCGGGGCAAGCGGGGTGAGCGGGGTGAAGTTTCCAAGACATCGGCAAGCACACGCTTGGGAGGGTGGGGAGAATAGACCCTCATGTCAAAATCTAACCGAATTTCATTTACTGTCACGGATTTTTTTGCTTGAGCACGCAACTGTTATTGCAGATCATCACGCTTTTTCCTCCACCACAACCCCACAAAAGCAAAAAAGACAGTTGCATGCTGTTCTTCGAAGTTGGCATTTGTTTTCTCTGTGTGTGTGTATGTGTATGTGTGTGCTTTTTTGCATAGTGTGTTCAGAACTGCTCATGGCCTGGTGATTTGTGTTAGCTTTGATGCGGGCAACACATAGCAGCCAACAACACCGAACACTGAATAAACAACGGAAGTAATGAACAGCAACCGAGCACCCCAAGAAGAAGCAACGGAAGGCACAGTTAACACAGCAAGTTACTTGGGACTAATCAAAGCGGTATTGAGCATCGGTGTTTTGCAGCAAAAGCTAGAAAGCTTTTTGGGGGTGGGGTTCGGGGGTGAATTTGGAGGTTAGTAAAGGTCTAGGGCCCTCAGCCCGAACCTCTATTTCAGTCCAGAATCCACCAGGTTTAGGTTTTGGGCACACCATCAGCCTTGCCATGCAGGGAGGATCTGCAGGCAATCGCCACGCCCTGAACCCTAAACCTAAACCCGAAACCCTAAGCACTTCTACTGCGCTCGGGCACCTGGATTTAGGGTTTGGTGAAAAATTGGCCGTTCCTCAATTCAACTTGGCAATGTTGGTATGGCATTGTCATTCTTCGCAAACTACGTGTAAGTTCAGACCGTCCACACATCAGAATACCCTAGCTTGGAATATGATATGGGCCTTATCGCGCTCTCAAACAACTTAGACATGTTTGCTGGGGGGGGGGGGCACGACGTGCGAAATCATGTTCCGTGTCATTTTTTGCTTGAATTTTGGGATCTTCTCTTTTTCTCTTTAATTTGTCACCACCATTTGCGTTTGCTGCAGTTGGCAAAAGTGTGTTTTGACATGTTTTGACGGTTTCCTTCGGAGTCGTTAAAATGCTGATGATACACGCTCAGATTTGTGAGATCCACTTCGATTCTCACCTGCTGGGTTGTAGTCGGCATCGCCATGAAACCAGTCAGCATCAAACGAGCCAGGAGAAAAGTGCCCATTCACAACGGCAACAGCAAGCAGCAACAATAACAACAGCAACACCAACGCTCACCGCCGCGACGAAGATGATGACAACCATCACAGCAAAAGACATGCTCTTCCCGCTTTTCTTCAAAGAGGCTTTGGTGCATCTTTGAGCTTGCCGCCTATCGCACGGCCAATCCGACGGGCAAAATCACGCTGGCCCCAGTCTTCGTAGTCGCTCGGCCATTGCTCCTTAAGCCTTTTTTCATGTTTGACAGGAAGGGACGTAGATGTGCACATGCGCATATGCATGTGCTTGCGCCCAACAGTGGCTACCTGCAAGGAGAGTGCCGTGGCAGCGTACTTCGTTGCGAGCTACCTGGCCTGCGTATCTTTCACCCTCGACCGACAATCCTTTCTGTTCTTGTCCCTCGTGGGCCAGATGGTTTCGACGTACATCCTGATTTGGTACCTGCGAAGAAACCTCTCGGTGTCTCGGTCATCACGTGGTGTTTTTGTTTTTGGTACATTCTTGGGGAGAGTTGTTTTCTGGCACACGCCCGAGCGCGTCAGCCCTCCAAGTCCCCAAGTGTGCTGCCCCACCCCCCCCCCCAGGCCAAACACCTGTTTATTCAAGGTGAAGCGCAAGCTCATCTCCGATCTGCAGAACTTTGATATCGCACAGGCCCAGTGCCGCCTCCAGTATGACAGGGACTTTGTCTTGGATGCCATCACCGAAGCTTGGGTCTCATTGTTTTTGTGTCTCAAGCGGTGGGGAACACTTCCCACCCCCCCTGGGATTTTTGCATCATCCCCAAATCATGGAAATCTCAGCTCTTGTGGGGGATCTTCCCCTTGCATTTCCCACTCCCCACCCAAGACCGCTCCACGCCACCCAAGAACTTGAGTTCGAACCAAGCCCCGAACCCTGAACCGTTCAGAGCCCTAAGCCTCCCAAACCCCACAAGTGTCTCAACCCGAGGGCTCCCCCCAAGAGCCTAAGGACTGGTTTGGCAGCCAGGAGGCCTTTACGGACTACGTGCGGGGCAACCTGGGCAAGGCTGCAACATCTGGGCTCCTACCCCTCACAGTTGAGTTGGGTTGGCTACTTCCAGTTTTAGGTTTGTGATTAGAAGAAGAGGGGAGAGTAGTTAGATATTGCGAGTTGCAGCCACCTCATTTGGGGCACTGCTTACACCGAAGCAGTTTAGGTTTGAGGGTTGTCGGCTAATGGTCAGTCATGGTTTGAGATGTGACGATGGTCGTGTACCAAGAGATAGAGCTGCGGTTGGTACCCTGTTGCCCCACTTTGGAGCAAAGCGCTTCGGCTCTTGAAATGACTAAGGGGCAAAAAGGGCGCAGGACATTAGGGTTTTAGGATGTGCTAGAAGGCAGATGCTCGGCGGCAGAAGGTGTAGAGCTTTGGATCTGTGGTTCATCATCTGTTCTGTTGCCTTGAAGGTTCCCCGAGTTTCCGGAAAATGCAACGAACAAGCAAAGCCTTGAACTGGCGTGGAGCCTGCAAGCCAGGAGGGAGAGGAAGGGAGGGAGGGAGAGAGAGAGATAGAGAGACAGAGATAAGGAAGAGATAAGGAAGAGATAAGGAAGAGATAAGGAAGAGATAAGGAAGAGATAAGGAAGAGATAAGGAAGAGATAAGGAAGAGGGAGAGGATGATCCGCTGAGGAGTAGCTGCGCTACAGCGGCTTGCGTGTGCTCATAAGCTGATGTGGGGATTGCCCGGTGAGATGCAACTGCTCTAACTTTTTGGGGGTTCGCTCTCGCCGAGAGAGCAGAACCAGCCGGCACGTGGCAGGGAGTTGGATGCTCTGCCCTAAACTGGCCCTAAACCCGAAAACAGGTCGGCTGAAAGACAAAGAAAAGCTAAGCATTGAGCGGAAAGGTGGAGAGCACCGGAAACCGAGGTTCTCGGGCTCCATGATTCCCATTCAGTATCAGCTGTTGATCGTGACGCCTGAAGTAAGCCTGAACCGAGGCCGTTGTTGGGAAAGCTTTACTCTTCTCCCAACGCCCTTGAAACCTGAGCCCCTAGACTCCCTAGACCCTAACATGTGCAAAACTCCAAAACCTCCACATCTAGGTTCAAGGCTCGATCTCCGATATGGCTTAGGGTTTGGGAGGTTGCTAAAGGGTTGAGGGTTTCAGTCTTCGGCAGAATGCCCCCACCCTAAACCCTAACCCGAAATCCTAAACCCTCTTAGAAACTCAGGAACATGGACACTTTCGTGGCACTTTGGCAGTCCAATCTGCCCGCCGAATTCCTCTACTCCCACTTTCTGGGCATGGTATTGGGGCACCCTGGTGTTATCTACGCCCGTTTCCAATAGATGCTATATTCTACTCCAGGTTATTCTGCTTTGTCCAACTGTATTAGGTTAGAGGTGAGATGCCATGAATATGTATACACATGCCTATTCAAGTTTACATTTTAGTAGATTGTAGCGGCGGCGTGTTTGGGGCCACAGGTCGCGGTCGAATTTCTTGAAATGTTGACGCCCTCGAAAGCTCTAAGGGAATAGAGGAGGAAGCTTTCGGTTTCACTGTGAACGTTCGGCTCAGTGAGAATCATATTCTCAATGCACAGACTCTCTTCTGTTGCAATGCTCATGTCTGTGTGATGGATTCAGCAGCACCTGTGCTGGTATGCACAAGAATCTGAAGCGTTCCTGGGCTCCGAAACACCAAATACGGCCAGGGATGTAGGAGTTTAGATCAATGAGCTGCTCGTCAAGCTGAGACAATACCGCGGACCTAGCAGCAAAGTACATATCCATCTTTCTCATTCTGATGTGGCAAGGGGTCGAAGAAGCAGGCGTTCCGCGCATGGTTACCTAGGCAGGTGTAACCCAATGCCAGTCTTTTGGGACCGCTGTGAAGTCACCACTACACGACCCGTTGTATGTGGGGCACCCAAAGAAGGGCCCATGATTTCGAAACCGGCCATGTTGAGTCGTTTCAAGACAAACATGCGACAGAGAGAAGACACGCACAACATTGGGTTTCTATTCTTTCGCACTGCAACCATGCCTCCGGCTCCAGGTATGCCATCTGCTGGCGCATTGTGACCGTGAGCCTGGTGGTGTTCCTCTGCGACTGGGCCCCCTCCCTCAGAAGTTGGAAGGCTGTAGCTGGTCAGGCCAATTGGGAGATACTTTGAACCCTAAACCCTAAACCCTAAACCCTAAACCCTAAACCCTAAACCCTAAACCCTAAACCCTAAAACCCCCAAGAGCCCTGATCATATGTAGGAAGATCTCTTGTCAGAAGGAATTGCAGGGGGGCCAACCGAGGTAGGTTTGGACATCTTCATCTTGTTGGCCACCAACGTCTGCACGGTTCCTGAGTCCTGGTTGGGAAGTCTTTCGCATGTTTCAGAAGATCAACCTTCGAAGGTTGATCGCAAGTGGGAAGTTCGGGAAGCTTACGTTCTAGTGATGTCGGAGCTTGCTGCAGCTGTCCCACGGGGCTTAAGATCAACTCGGCCAAGGTCACCGGACTCTACACCTCACAATACGCGTACCGTCATGGGGTTGTGGCAGCTTCAGTCTGGCTGCTCACTGCCTGTTTCTAGGCCCGACATGAGAGCTTTCAAAGCTTTGCTTTGAAGGCTTGTTGAGGGTTGCTCATGTTCGGTGGGCAAGTACGGCAACGATAACTTTCGTTTCTCAAGTTCGACTCTGGTGCGGGCTGGAGTTGATCTTGTATGAAGCTTGTGTGCGGGTTTCAGAGTGAGGGCTTCTGATGACAATTAGATGTGCCTTCTTCTTCGTCTGGTTATTGGATGCCCTCAAGATCCCCTCCACGTCACCCTAAACCCTAAACCCTGAACTCTAAACCCTAAACCGTAAACCCTAAACCCCACACAAGGCTTGCTCGCCTGCCTCTTCCAGCTCCGACCAGGGAAGTTTTGCACAAGAGAGGCAACTGAGTAAGCTTATTCCAGAGCCCAAACGGTTCTCCTTGCATGCCTTTTTTGAATTCTTTTTACAAATAATCCCCAGAAAACAGACTATATCGTCTCCGAGGATTCTCAAATTGGCAGCAGATCCAGAAATGCTGGAGATCTGCTTTGAAGACTAGTTTACTTCTCTGTACAGGAAATTTTGTCACCGCACCGCCATTTCTGGCCTGCCGTCATCGTGCATCGAATTGCGAGAAAAGCTCTCAGCCTGAGCCAGTCTTCAATTTATTCTGTTTGGGTTCTTTGCTAGAGAATAATGGCAACATAATAATAACATCAAAACAAGATTGATGCTAATACTGATCATGATACTAAGAATAATAAGAAGAACAATAACAAGAATAATGACAATGGTAATCATTAGAATAATTAGTAATATCATTACTGATGATGAGGCTGGCGTTCGTCGGGCTGTTGCTTGGCATCATGGTCTGTGAAAGCGTGTTGGCCACATTTTCCTCCCTTGTTGCTCAGAGCCAGCGGCGCCCTCAAGATCCATTCCAGGTCTATAAACACGCTAGCAGCGACTTTTTTGGGGGGTCTCCTGTCCTCTTTTCGTGCATCTATGTATTGTTGTCAGACATCAGCAATTTGTTTTTTCAGGCATGTGCGCCCACAGCTCTGGATGCACATGTCGACATGTGGCAGCGATTGCCAGTCTTGCTTGCCCTGGTCGACGCAGAGTTCCTCGTTTCTCACAAGCTGGACTCGCTTGACCCATGTGCATCCATTGAGGCGTCTTACCTGGCTCTCGCGAAGGGTCGCCAGCGATCGTGCTGGGCGAGGCAATCGCCCCCTCCAGGCATCAATTGGACGAATTTTGGCCCTTGCAGTGATGACATCTACCAGCATCTGCCAGTGCTCCGCACGCTGGCCGAGGAGCCGGGCATCGAAGACATCTTGGAATGTGGCGTGGAGTACGGCTCGTCGACCACGGCCTTCCTAAGTGCCCGTCCCTTCCGACTGCACTCCGTTGACGTCGTCAGGAGGAAGACTCTCTCTCGTCTTGAGCACCTGGCGGCCGCATGTGGAGCGTCCCGCTTTAAGTTCTTATTGCAGTCCTCATTGGAGGTGAAGCTGCATGGTCCGGGTGCTTTGCCGATTCCGGACCTGCTTTTCATCGACACGCTGCATGCTGGCTCCGTTTTGTCACGTGAGTTGCGCTTGCTGGGGCCAAGCACGAGGCGATACATCGTGATGCATGACACAACCCTGAACGCCTTCGAGGATGAGCAGCATGCAGACTTCTCTCCGCCGAAGGACCACCCTCCGGGCTTGTGGCCAGCAGTCATCGACTTCTTGGCAAGGCAGCCGGAGTGGTTCCTGGCCCTGCGCTGTTTCAACAATAATGGCTTGACCGTGCTGCGGCGTTCTGAGGGTATGAGCAAAGATGCGGAGTTCAGCAGGAAGCTCCTTGAAAGGGTTCACTGCCAAACCTCGCTCAACCACACCTTCGATGAGTTCAGCTACCTGTACTCCCTTCCTCGCCACCAGCTTGGTAGCATTCGCGGCTTATCGCTTGAAAGCTTCGCGAAGCAGACGATAAAGTTGGCGCTGTCCTTTTTGCGGAAGGGTGTTCCTGACAGCCTCACGCGGCTTCTTTGGAGAGACCTTGTGCAGTGTTGTGCTATCATGTCACATCGCGTAGAGAGTGGGCGGCCTACCACTGGAATGGACAGAGCGTGCGAACCTGGGGAAGTTGCAATGCTGGGTGCCGAACTCAGCAGGAAATACAGCCTGCTGTCTCCGCTGCCGGGGTCTCTTGGATGATTTTCGGAGATGTGGCAAAAAGACAGCTTCCGGTACAAGGGCCAGAGCTTCTGTGCTACAGACTGTGTCATCAACCAGGGTCCCCTTGTGATGAGACTCCGTGAGCAGATGCAGCACCCACTCGATGCAGAAGCCCCTTCCTTGGGTTGGGTGGTCTGAGCATACTTGTTTGCATCCACAGGCCTCAATCCGATTGTGTTGGCGCCATGGAAAACTGTTTTCATGCTGGATGCCTAAAGGCTGACGCGCTTGGGGGTTTAGGACAGCGGGCACAGGCTTGAGTGTTTAGGCCAGTTTAGCCTCCTTGAGCAGGCAGGTTACCCATCCGCCCAACCCTGGTGATGCAACTGCACAGCTTGGAAGCTCATGGTGGTGACTGGTCCAAAGGTGCCGGAAGCGCGGAGACTTTCAGGGACAGCCTGGCATTGTACAACGATGGAGTATGAAAGCAAAGTTCAACAGAGACTGCCCTTGTGGAGCTGACCCAGGCGGAGCTTCAAAGCGCGATGTTTTAGGTTTGAGCCTAGGAATGCTATATGGGGCCCCCAAGCTATGAGTAAGCCGTTTCGTTTGGTCAGATACATGCACAAGAGACACTTCTCCAGCTGGGAGTTCTTATCGTAGTTATCGCAACATTAGTGGACATGACGGTTCTCATCGTTACCATGACTTTATGACAGTCTTACGATTACTTCCGCTATTATTATTGCTCTATTATTGCTCTATTATTGCTCTTACAGTATTCGTCTTCCGGTTCTAGTTCTTAATATTGTTCTTGCTTTTGGAAGCAGTTGGGAGTGGCCGGGTCGGGTTGTGTTTGGAAGGCGCACCTTGCGTGGTCCGAGGGCCGTCGTCGACCCCTTCGCTCCCTCAGCCTTGATGCGTTGCGTGCCTCTCGTGACGTACGTAGGGGAAGTGTTGGGTGTTCTTAGAGCCCTTCAGCTGCGTAGCTGCTCCTCAGCCTTCGAAAATCCCAAGTGGGCTGGAACCTCACCCCCCCAGAGGCCCAAAGGTCCCGATCACGTGGGGTTTCTAGAAGAGCCCTGCATGGGCTCTCTTCTTGTGTTGTCATACTAGGGTGGTTGTCAAAACGATGGCTCCCTTTTTGGATCCCCATTATCATACGGCACCTAATATTTTTAGGTACCCCAAGAAGGGATCATGATTTTGACAGCCACCCATATATGTCCGCGCCCCTGGTGCCGTTTTCTCTCTCAGCCTTTGCCTCGCACGATCTACAAGTCCCCTTGTGGTCAAGTCCCCGAGTGTGGCACTTCTTTTATTGCCGCGACATGGGCACCTCGGGCATGACGCCACCATTTGCAACTCAGCCATTTTTTCAGCCGTTTTGGGGTCATTGGGGTCTGTGTTCTTTGCTTCCTAAAACCAAAAAAGGCTCAGTTGTGCCATCTCTACCCAGGTGAAGCTGTGCATCTTTGCCCAGATTCTTGTCGCTCGGGCAGGCAGGCTGTTGCGTAGGATGTTGTTTTGGTTTATTGCTGCAGTTTGGGGATTAGGGTTTGGGGTTGCTAGGGTCTTAGGTTCGTTCGCGCTAGCTACCCTCAGCTTCCGTCGACTGTGGCTAAATCCTAAACCCAAGACTCCTTGTTTCTTTTGGGGAAATGACCCCCTGAAATTATGGAGGATCCTCAACACAATTTACGGAGAACTTCCTGAGGCCCTAAACCCTTTTCCCCCCCCAAACCCCAAACCCCTAAAGGTTTCTGGGGGGGTGCATGGAGAGTTTTGAAAGTTCTGGGACCCTGGCAGGTGACGTTTGCAATGCACCAAATTCGCCGGCTTGTGTGGCAAAAAGTAACTTGCCAGCAAGTTCACCAGCTCGGGCGAGAGTTTCAGGGTTATTGCCTTGGCTACTCCCCCGTACGGCAGCAGTTCCCGGATCGCTGCGAGAAGGCAGAGCATCCCAAGACTCCCCAAACTGAGTACATCAAGGAGCATTCCTTCAAGGGCATCAGGGCAGGAAACCAGGGGCCTACGATCATGTTCGAAAGAGTGTAGGGGGCTCGGAAGCTCTGGCATCTCCCCCAGCCCAGACCCTAACTCCCCACAACTTGAGAAGTCCGAAGCATCAAACCCAAAGCCTCAGCCCCTCCCCAAAGCACCATAACGTATACACATACGAAAGCACCATGCATGCATATATATATATATATATATATATGTGTAGTATACATATGTACACTCACATACATATATATATATATCTCAAAACATATGCATGTATGCATATGTGAAGGTATATGAATGTTCCTAGCAGGTCTCCTGGCAGGACCCTGTTCCCCACTTCAGGAGCCTAAATAGGTACTAATATTGTGCTCTTATAAGCCCCCTATATAGTCTTAACATATCAGTTCGACGCCTCAGGCGTAAACCGCTAACCCCCTATATCCTCAACCCTAAACCCGAAACAACCCCAAACCACCCCTAAAACCCTAAGCCCTAAACCCTCTACATGCCTGGAAGTGCCGGGGCGCAGGAACCACGAACGGCGGGAATTCGTTTATCCAGCGCGGATCCCCGGGTCCCGCGAGTGGGTAGGGCCAAAGAGTATCCGCTTGGCACCGGGTGTAGGGTTTAGGGTTTAGGGCTACCCTTGTGTACTTCTAGAATGCAAGCCACCCACAATGCTCATTTAAAGGCATGAATCTCCGAGTTCGTTTGCTTTTGGAGTTCAGGGTTGCAGGTGGGGGGCTCGAGTTTTCTTCCCAGAAGGGCTTGGCGTTGATAGGGCTTTTCCGGAGGGGCTGGAGACTCAGCGAGCTTTGAGGTTTTCTCAGGTTCAGGTTCAAGGAAGGCCTGAAGGTTAAACGTGAGTCATTAGCCTTGAACCCCCCGGATCCTTGGCGCTTCAACAGAGCCTCCACGCCCTAAAAACCTGAAGGTCCCCGCGGGCTTGAGAAACTTGAGGAAGCGTCATGGAGCTGGGTATCGGGGGTACTCAGGGGCCCTTGCAAGGGACCCTGGGAATTCCGGCCGGGCATTGGGAAGGTTTCTTTGGGCACATAGGGGCTTTAAAAGATCCAGAACGCTGCTCTTGGGTAGTAGGATTGAGGCTCCCCCTTCTACAGGTGCCTCTTAGTGAAGATTGCCAGCCTTGCTAAGAGCGAATGCGTTCCGAAAGAAGCCAGCAGCTTTGGGCTCAGGGTTTGCGTGCTTGGGGTAGGGTAATCCGAGGTAATC